ATATGTTACCATGTTGGTATTTTCTGATGTATCCAGGGGCGTTCTTGCCCCAATGATGGTTAGTCACTTGCTGCGTGAAGAACCAGGGAGGGTGATCGTGGGTCTGCGAACATTGGTGTTGGATACACATGCTGGATGATTTGGTGTCACGCAGACTGGTAAGATTGCCGTTTGGTAGGGGGCATCGCGATGATTCACGGGGCCCCTCCTTGCTGTGGGAGCCGCTCTTTGAGCACTCCCTCTTTCGTCCNGAGCACTCCCTCTTTCGTCCGTGTGAAGGACGGTCGTTGACCTCTCGTGAAGTTAATACATCACCGAAGCAGTCTCACCCAATAAATAAGCGGCGTAGGCCGCAAACATGTCAAGGCTGTCAGGCAGCCCCCGTGGATGTTTGAAAAATCATTGTCCCATGAACGCAACTTCATAACCCTACCCTAACCCTGTATGTCATCCCAATGTTATCCTTAGGCTGGAATCGGGTGACGTTCTTCCATGGAACGTTTACCACAAAGTTTCCATGGAAGTCAAAACTTGTACTTCCATCAGAGCTGCCCGAAGGCGGGCGACTTCTATGAAAGGAGTGGGTTGAAGCGACTTCCATGGAAGCTCACGAAGCGAAGTCCATGGAAGCTAATCGACTTCCACTAGCTTCTAGTCGCGCTTCAAGCGCCCCGATTTTACCTTCCCCGGAAGTTCCTAACGTCCATGGAAGCACTTGGCGACCTTCCATGGAAGCCAAATTCAACCAACTTTCAAACGAAGTTTCGTATTTCCATGAGTGAAATTTATTCTACTTCCGTGGAAGCTACACACATATTTTGTCGAATATCGTACCGTAGGAGATCGCCGAGAGCGGGTCATGAGCTGGCAACGACTCAGTCATAGCTGATTCATGACGGAAGCATGACCGAGGCATGACTTCGGTCATGATCGAGATTATGATCGAGGTCCTGACTCCATCTCAATGACTCATCGCCCAATCATGCCCGAGTCATGATTGTGACTTAGTCATGATTGATGATGAGTTATGACTGAGTCATGACAGAGTCACTACATGTACCCATGATCGAGTCATGACTCAATATCATAATCGAAACCCAACATTGTCAAAGCCCCATTTTAACTCGCAACTCTTCTTGGTCCACCTCTAGCCGTACCCACGCCCCAGTGGCCGCGGGTTATTCCGTGCCCTACGACTCCGACGGCAATTTCGCTACGGGGTCGATAACACGGGGGGAGAAGAGGCGATGTTTCTGTTTGCGCGCCCCCAGCCACGTCTTTGTGGAGCCTCTGCCCTTTATTTTGGAACAACAGTTTTTCGTTACGCCTAGCTTACAATACCAGCCCTCCCAGGAGACTGTCTAGACTTCTAGACTGTCTAGATACAGCTATCAATCGTCTTCTTCACCTACATAAGCAATTAGACGTTCCTTCTTGCTCCCTACCATCACCGCGCCCTCGCCAACTAAATGTGTACAAGAGTTGGATTGGTTAAGGCCCGTTTTAAACAGACCGACTTTTTTGTCAAATTTTTCGACATTTGC